TAATAGGAATACCTGTTTACCTGTGACAATGACAAATCCACCCTAGTTCCCACCCTAATTTACATTTACACAATGCAGGTGATACCATAATTCATCACAAGTCATGCATGCATCATTAAATTGTTCTAAGTGACAGTATGTATTATACACTGTACATGTTAACTAAATGCCTCAGAAAATAGTTTTCATGCCTTTATTTATATGTGATGACAACAAACTGTATTGTGTTTCTTCCAGTACACAGGTAAATATATATATGCTTCATGTAAGAGGTCACATCATGGTTACCCAGTACCATGATTTATAGCTTTCTTATATGATCACATGTGTAACAGTAAAATATTTCTACCACATTTAAATAAATTGTGAATATATCAGACCTCTTTTATAAATTTTCATCAATTACATTTAAAACCAAAAAGGGCCCCGAGGCCTTAACTGGCTAGCTGACTATCGGAAGACTGTGAAGGAAATTGACAAGATGACATGGTTAATCTCATGATGATGTCATATCAGTCAATCGTGATAGAAGTAACTCCATAAAAATGACATAATAAGCTACTTTTGTCTTTTTCCCTATGATACTAATTTTTACACCCTTATAGTGACCAGAGTTTGTGGAGTCTAAGCTAAGGAATAGATCATGAACAGGTTATAATCTTAATGTCCATCGACCTTTCTAGAAATAAAAGGCATATTGATAGTTTTAAAAAAAAAAATCCCCAGGTTTCGTCCCCGCCCCCATCTGGTTTCTCAGGGGTTAAAGACCCAAATTTTGATTAAAAACATATTTTGGTACTTTTTTCAGGATAAGTACCCAAATTTCAATGAGCTATATACATGTACTTCTATATCTTGTGCACAAGCTCTTATTACAGACTGACATTCTGCACGTGACTTTTGACCTTTATAAATAACCAACAAAATATAACCAGGCATATAACTGAATATTCCTATGCTACGGTGTACATATAAATCAGATCTGTGACGGGCTTGAGAGATATCTTGTTCACAAGCTTTTTACCTCAACAGTTGTAAAGTGTGATATTTGACCATGACCTTTGACCCTTTAACCTTGATTATTGATGATCACCAAATCTCATTCCCTGTGGTAGGTGTAGAACTTGATACTACCATACTATGGCATGGATTACATATGATCTAATAAAGGGGTTCATGAGATATCTTGAAAACTATAGCTTTTTACTACGGATTCACACGCACATACCTTATTTTACATAGCCGTTTATATATCTCAAAAATTCAAATTCCTTATATAATTTTCAAAAGTTACCAACCAAAGAAACTCACCAAACCTGGTGTTAACAAAGTTAGGTAGTCGACCACCTTTAATGAGGAACCTCTATAATTTTTAGATTTAAAGAGAAGCAACATTTCTGAAATCCAAAGCTTAATACAAGAGAATATATATACGTTCTTCTGTTTCAGTACACAGAATATATCAGCTTGAATCTGATACTGTGTGAACATTTCCCAGTTTAATGATACAAAATTGTGTCAAGCTATTTCTATATAATAAAAGCGGAAAGTGACTGATAAAAACACTTAAGAGTGGGGCTTATAAGTTGATGAGTGTACAGTCCATGTAAACGATTTAACCTACAATGTAATTATATATAAGTACATCTTGTCTACGTGGACTTACAACAGTTGACTTATATATAACAGACAACCCAATCATGACAGTCACTAACAGTACATTTATCCATACTTCAATATATACCACTCAATTGATAACGAAAATGATGGTCAATGGTGAGGAGTAATCTATAACATGTATGATATATTCCTGGTAAATCTAAGTGGTCGGCATTTATAGTCTCATAAACTAATTATCCATTCAGAATTCTATCTAGCCCCATTTTTAACAAAGTTTATATATATCAGACCAAAACAAAATTTTGCAAGTTAAAAAGCTATAGAGATGTAAAAAATAAATTTCAACTCACAGGATGTTATTGTAATGTATCTGTTAACAATAATCTCTCTTGGACATACTATTTAAGGAAGTGCTGACAGTTTATGCTTAGCTTGAACATCTTGTATTTGTAACATTTTGTTGTGTATTTGTACAATGTTGCTATGGTACATGTTACTACCAGCAATAGTGTATTGAACATCTTTGTAACATTTTGTTGTTTGTGTCCATTAAACATACATCTGTAAACAAGGAAGCTGTTGTTCATCAGACTTCCTGAAACAATCCATGAACATTTTATATTTCCTGTCAATATTTTGCAATTGTACATCAGAATTTATTATCTTTATAAACTAACATATTTTTTTATTTCCTTAAAATGCATCGAAATACTGGTACATGTAGTCGTATTTATTTAGCATCCACAAGTAAGTGAAAATGACCTATAACTAACTCAAACTTCAAAGAAATCACAATAATCAACTCCCCATGATATATAGATTCTCCAATATCAAATTCAAAGTAATTCAACATCAGTATTATATCAATTAACAAGAGGCTCAGGGGACCTGTATCTCATTTTTTTTATATCGTCTGAATTTGAAAATGTCCAAAATTGAGACCAATGTTTCCTTGCATTGAAGGGGGGGGGGGCATCTTTAGACTATTTTATATATCTATTGACGCAACTAATATAAAACATGCCTCAAATGACCTTAAAATTTTGTAGCTGCAGCATAAACACTGAACAACTGAGTGTATTCATGCATAATATATCAAAATATTCCTAAAGAATCTCTGAAATTTAATACAGCCTGGTGCATGAATTGATTGAAATCCATGACCAGCTGTTGATTCTGTCAGAATAATACAATGCCTTTATTAATTGCCAGAGAAGTTCATATTGTAATACATGCAGAATGTAGTTAATCAATATTAAACTATGAACCACAACATCAAACTGTCCAATGCAATTACACTGTGCATATATATACAAGATATCAGTTACTTCTTTTTATTTCTAAACTATAATTATATTAACACAATAGTAATATGTGTGTACAACAATATGTACATTTATAGTCTTTAGAGATTTCTCTGGCTAGTTAAGGAGTAGCTGCCTACATGTAGTAAACGAAAAGTCTTAAGCTTTAGCTATATAAATAAAATGTCTGTCTCTCAAAATGAATCAGCCCCTGGTATGACTATACGCTGTACATATGTGTGGAAATATGACCAGAGTATGAAATAACAGATATATCATGACCACTAATAGAAACCAGCAAACTTGACAAATATAACACTGGTACAAGATAATAACAGGGGTTGGGGTTTGCACTTTTCTGTGTATTGTACAACAAGCACAATTTAAAGCTGTAAGCAAGCTTCATAATAAAGACAATTTAGACATGGCTTTATATATATATTGACCTACTGTTACAGTGATTACCTATTGAAGGTGACATGCCTTTTCAAAGATAATGCATATCTATCAACACCATGCGTAAATATTTCCGAAGTGCGAGTTTAAACCTGGCAATACATTCAGTTACCGGTAATCATTATGACCTGGCGATACATTCAGTTACAGGTAATCAATATGACCTGGAGATACATTCAGTTACCTGTAATCATTATGACCTGGAAATACATTCAGTTACTGGTAATCATTATGACCTGGAAATACATTCAGTTACCTGTAATCATTATGACCTGGAAATACATTCAGTTACAGGTAATCATTATGACCTGACAATACACTCAGTTACCGGTAATCATTCTGAACGGGCGATACATTCAGTTTCCGGTAATCATTATGACTTGGCAATACATTCAGGTACCGGTAATCATTAGGACCTGACAATACATTCCGTCACCGGTAATAAGTATGACCTGGCAATACATTCAGTTACCGGTAATCATTATGACCTGACAATACATTCAGTTACCGGTAATAATTATGACCTGGCAATACATTCAGTTACCGGTAATCATTATGACCTGGCAATACATTCAGTAACCGGTAATCATTATGACCTGGCCATACATTCAGTTACCGGTAATCATTATGAGCTGGCAATACATTCAGTTACCTGTAATCATTATGACCTGACAATACATTCAGTTACAGGTAATCATTATGACATGGCAATACATTCAGTAACCGGTAATCATTATGACCTGGCCATACATTCAGTTACCGGTAATCATTAAGACCTGGTTGTAAATTCAGTTACCGGTAATCATTAAGACCTGGTTGTAAATTCAGTTACCGGTAATCATTATGCCCTGGCAATACATTCAGTTACAGGTAATCATTATGACATGGCAATACATTCAGTAACCGGTAATCATTATGACCTGGCAATACATTCAGTTACCGGTAATCGTTATGACTTGGCAATACATTCAGTTACTGGTAATCATTATGATCAAAGACCTCTGTGTGAAAATCTGTAAAAGTAATTACAATGTGGACTTCACAGCTGTTATACTATTGTAGGAGCTCGTGGATTGGGTGAATGCCAAAAAGCTGCAGGTAGCTCAAAATTCGATCACCGGCCGTGGTCTGGCTAGAATTTAGGGGTCTAAGGTTCGAATACTGGTCCATAGTTATAGCTAGCTCTGGTTCATTTTCACTCTTCTGTTACTTTAGAACACCTTATAGTTAACCTGTTCTGCATGTTATTGACCCCCACCACTGGACACATCGACAATATTAATGTTGAGATGTACTAGCGGTGCATATTTGAAGGAACAGTATTATCTATACGACTAAATCATTTTTTACATGTACAAATTTAAATGAATATGCATTAACATCAAAGTAGTAATAGGTCAATTGCCTTAAATATCAGCAATTTTTTAATCAATTTCATAATATTACACACCAAACAAAATAACCTGTATTTATTGGATCAAGTTTTACTTGTATTTATTACGGTGTAGCTCTAACATGCATATATTTTAAGCCCCCACCGCCCTTAAGGAAGAAAATCATGCTGTAAGGAGAGAGGTCAAATATTATACTTAAGAATGCATGAATAAATATTGGACTTACAGGTAGTGGAAACTTTCTTCCTGTGCATGTGGTGTACATCTGGAACTGACAGAGTGTTACCCTCTGTGGAGGATCTGTCCCCCTCGTCCGTTTTTTTATTGTATTCATTCTCATTCGTCACACCTGAAATGTCTCCTGCATCTCTGGTTCCCCCCAAAGCTCCATCTTCATTGTCCGAGTCAGAACTCTCATCAGAAACCTTAAGTTGATCGACTTGAGTCAGCAGTACATTAAGTGAAATGTTTAAATAATTTGACTTTTTTTTCTTATCAGTAGAATTGGTTTGCAAATCTTGAAGTTCATGTGTCTTTAATCTCCTAACAATACCTTTAATCGTTTTTTTCTCACCCATGTCTGAAGCTTCCTCCATATCCGTTGGTACATTTGAATTAATTCCATTGCTTTTGGTGTCAACAACCTTATCCGATTCATTATCAGGAAATTTTCTGAAACTTGTACCAAGTACATGTACATTGTGTGTTTCAGAGCTACTGCTTAGACCACTGGAAAGTTTCCTTATTTTCTTCATATCCTCATCATCTAAGTTGTGTCCACAATCTTGTGACACAGTTATGACTTTGTGTTCAATGCTGTCGGCATCAGCAGGGGAAGTGACTGTAATGTGCTCAATGGCCGTAGTTTCAGTTTCATTTCCTGATCTATACAAATGAGCTGGTTCAGGATGACACTGAGTGGGATCAATTTCGATCACAGCCGCGTGCATGTGGTCATTGTGTACAGTCGACAATGGATTGCCAGCCTGGCTAGTGTCTCTCTCCAGGCCTAGATTTGTTTCCAGAGGCCCTCTGGATCTCAGGGAAGCTGTTAATTCTGGTTCACCCTCACTTTTCTGTGGAACTGTTTCAGAATCGGTGCTCGGACTCTTCGAGATTTGGGGTGGTTTTGGTCTAGACAAACGAGGCCTACTGATTGGTCTCGGTCGAGGTGGGGGAGGAGCCTTGGACTGCTCTGATGAAACACTAGATTTCTCGGAACTTTTCTTGCAGGATATCCTCCTTTCTACTGATTTTATACGATCTGATACCGACTGACGACTAACTCCAAAACCCAAGTCTACATCGTCTGTGTTTTGTTCATCTTCTCCGACAGACTTCACACTGGAGCTTAAATTAGATGAGTTTTGGTGGTTTGTATGAAACACATCCGCTGTGCTAGTGCTATCTGTCCCTAATTCCATGGTTGCTAGATTACCAGTTGGCACTTCAGAATTTCCTGTGAAATTCTTCTCATTTAAATCGTGGGCCAACAAATCAGAAGGTGCATTATTGTCTGTTTCTTCATCACTAGACGATCCATTTTCTTTTTGTATACCAGACAAATTATCTAACCAGGTACAAGTAAAGTCTTGGTCCACCTGTTTTTCACCTGCGGATTTACCTGTGCACGTGCCTTGTCCCCTGGACAGGAGACCCGGGACCCTGGTCCTGCCTGACCACCTCTGGTGATCACCTACACTAATTTTAGTGACCGCTCGACTCCCCGTGTTGTTAATTGCTTCACTACTGTGATGCCCTGTGTTACGGGTGACCAACTCCTCACCTGACCCTACACGTCTTTTTGTAACACCTGTCATATCACAGGCTCCCAGGTAACCGACATTGCTATCAATATGTTGACCAGTTCTCATTATCACAATGTTCGACAAGAAATCTTCCATAAATTCTGCTTGATCGAGCTGGCTTTTAATTTCTATCACTTTCTCTCTTGCAGCTTCGTGTAACTGTTGAAATTCAGAAAGGGACCTATTTTGGGATGAGAAGTGATCTAACTTCAACACGTCTGGCTCGCCGACACTTGGGAACTTTTTCTTCCACTCGCCAGCAAAAAATGCCACCACATCCATGTCTATTTCGTGTGCTAACTTCCCACTCATACTGTACAGTACTTGACACACAACCTAAGTTTTTGTCTCCATACTGCAGACTTCCATTTCTTGTAATTCACAACTGCTCCACTTCGCTTCCGGGGTTGGTGTGTATATGTTATATACCGCCATGATTGTTGACAAAACTGACTGGCCTGACATGTGCCCGATGACGTCACACATTTCACGGGACAGCCCATCACGAATTTATCTGAAAGCAAGTCGCACCCACATTATCATTTTAATAAGACCTAAAAGCTTACTGTCATTTAATGTATTGCAGACATTTTAACATCAAATACGTTTTGGTATAAGTCATATTTCCCATTACTGATAAAACGTGTTTTTGCGTTGGAGTACAAATTAAAATACAACGACTGTTAACTCTATATGTACCTGTAATAATTTAGTTCCCCAAAGTCGAAAGTGAAAATAAATGTACCTCTTATTATTCATTAAATATATTTTATTGGCGATTAAGATGGATTTGAAGACCAGGAACTTGCTCGAAGTATTCACACCTACACCAGCCTATACCAAATTAAATAATATAAGTTGGCGGGGATTTACAAAACCCCACTAAGTACTGCACAAACTATATATGAAAGTGCACGAACTATATATGAAAGAAGCAACTACATTTTCTCTTTATTTCATACATTTTTTTTTAAATCAGTCGATTTTCCTGAAGTCAACTGCAACGCTGCTGAAAAAATGCATCATTTTTTATCTTGCCAGAAAATTATATCGGACAATTCTCTTCAATGCGTCTTTTAAAATGATAAGAGCTTTAGTTTGTCCCGAAACCTTCACATGATATCAATTACATGATCAGTGTGACAATCACTCGACAAACTTCTTTAAAACATTCTTAAAATTTACATATCATTCAAAAAAGTTCTTCACAAAATTTTCTGAATGGTAGCCACGCTTTCATTTTTTTGCCAGAAATTCAGTAACGTTTGAAGAAGTATAGTATTCTTTATAACAAACTTGATTTTGAGAATTGAGAACGTTTGAATTAAATTAAGTCAAAAGTAACAGTTTTTTGCTACTCCTGGACGAGGTTTCTGATCCTCTCTATATATATACCTGTAATTATATACGGTATATCAAAAACTGTACGTGTTAGAGAATTGTCTATGTATGTGACAGTGTAACGACCGACTATAAAACAAGTGAGGAGAAGTTTAGACACCGAACAAGTATATTCAGTTATCTCGACCGCTATTACGTGTAAGTCTTAGGACAGAATGTCCCAATACAGACTCTAGAGCCGAACAAACAAATGTGTCTTGGGTTCGTATTACGTGATGGAAATCTTTCCAACCCTTTTGACTAGAACTACTGCATGATATATTAAAAAGTGTCCTTGATCTTAAGCTCAACTCGTATATACGATCGATATAGTCAATAGCCTAACTGTTCATCGTCGATATTTCGAATGTAAAATTGAAGAACTGGACTATGCATTTGTTACCACTCGGGGAGGGGAGTCTTTTCAAATCGGATTGGACATCATTTGTTTCTTCAATCCCACATATCAATCGTCACATCGTCGATATTTCGGATGTAAAATTGAAGGACTGGACTAAGCATTTGTTACTACTCCGATAAGCTCATCAATAAATTCAGCTTTGTATGAAAACAAAACAAATCGGCCAGAAGAGGGACACAGTTTGTTCCCATAGGAAGCTTGAAGTCTGCTGGAAAATCTTACCACAGAACTCAACAAAGATATTGTCAACCAGGAACTCAGTCATTTTCACAATTTCGTCCTCAGTCAATTTCATTTTGGACTTTTATTTATTTGCAGCCATATAATCATATCGTAGTTCAAAATAAGAGAACGAACGCATTTTGATAGAGAGTCATTTTTGAGGAGAGGATGTTCAAGAATTATCTATTTAACGTCTTTGGGATTCTTCAAAACGCTGCGTCACTATACGACTGTTACCCTAATTTAATGGTCCTGAAACGGAATAGAAGAAGTGTGTGAACACTATTCAAGTTCGAATTGAATGTTATTCTAAAATTTATTGAAAGGTTTTATCAATCTAAATATGAGTTTCTAGCCGAAAATCTACTTATAGACGTATATATAAAATAAAACACATACAAAACTCAACAATTTTGTAAACATTGTATTTATAAAATTTAAATAAAATATAATTTTTAAGTATATAAGGATATTTATTTTAATGTTTCAATATCTTCGTGTGATTCGAAGTCGGAGAGTCGATTCCGGCGCTCGCCTTTCAGCAATACGGCCTAAAGGCTCGACTCCCACGATCGGGGTTAAATAGGTATGGGTTCACCTGCCCAACCAAATGGGGTTTCTCCGGGTACTCAGATTTCCTCCCGTATTAAGACCCCTACGCACTTCTATCTAAGTTGAAACAAAAAAGAATTGTCATATTGATTTAAACTTGATGATAAATACAATTTATATTATAAAGAAAAAGAAAGAAAAAAAATTACTCAACGATAAGAAATAACATATTGAATGTAATTATGCATGTTTCGTTGCAAGTGATGACTAGGTACATGTTACGATTTCCCTAAACGATCAATTTACATGGCAGACCTAGAACTCCCCGCCTCGCCCTTCCATATATACAAAATACTTGATGGATGCCGATGGAGCGGATGGAAATTGTATTCGCTTTTATCCCTTTTCTCGGCACCCCGCTCCCCCAACCCAAATCCCTTTCTCGACACATAACCGACACCGCTCCTGGTTACGTTTTATGTGGGTTCGTCTTAATAATATTAGCAGAAATTCTTGCGGAATTCTATTGATCTCATTGGGTTAATTATCTTATTTTAATGTTTGTTTTCTATTTACTTAAAGTAAATGGGATACTTACTATTGTACTGGGTTTGCGATGTGAGAGGATTATTAATTAAGAGATAAATCGAAACAGCTTCACTCTTCAACTTTTCATTTTATTCCCGGAAACAGGAAGTCAAACAACAAAACATAAGAACAAGATACGGAGACGGAATACCATAATACAAGATACGTAGTCGGAATACAATAATACACAAAAACGGTTAATTCCCCGTTATTTATTTTAAACAACCATCAAGTGAATATACATAATTATATTTACTAATTACATATTCTAATGCTATATGGCATTTTTTTCTAATTTAAAATAGGCAAAACATAAACTGATTATACAATTTACATACGGTTTCGTGTATACAACTACACTTGAAACAGTTACACATGACGTGTACCAAAAAAGTTTCTTTGAAATCAAGATGATTGAATAGTTATCAAAAATTAACAAACTTGCAGCACTGACAGTTAATTTCACATTACTAGTAACACAACAATGAAGTAATAGGATATGGTAAAGTTCTGTTTTGGCCAAAATAATGATAAAATGAAATGTGAATAGTTGATAAAGGTAACTAAAAGCTTCATTGGGGAACAACGTCAATCAAAAATGAATAAGTATCCTCTAGAATGTCACGATCTAAGATTCACAAATCATTATGCTAATAATAGTGTTCCATTTGATAATGTCTACTTATACACAAGCTTCTGAGGAAGATCACTTCTTTTTCCTGATAAAAATGCTAGCATGTCCTTGCTGTCGATAGAAACACATGTTTCAGGTACTGATGTCGGTACTGACCTAACAGCTTTCAAGCGTAGTCCCAGAGACGGCACAGAATGAGATGATACATGACTAACAATAGCATTATGTAGCACTGGGGCAAAAGTAGTTGGCTGTTGGTGTTGAACCTTTGGTTTTGCATCAAGTTTCTCGCAAACTGGTTCCACACTCACAGTATTACAAATATGTTTATCTTCATGTTGTATGGGCAGCTCACCAGTTGATCCTCGTGGATGTGATAAATGATAAGGAGACATCAGTTTCTTTTCATGGGAGGAACTTTTCCTCTGCTTCCACTTCCTCCTTCGTTTCCTGTCATATCGGCGTTTGGACGGCGACTTGTGCTTCCTGGTTACTTGAACAGGAGGTACCTGCACACTATCACTCGCTTTTGAAGCATTGACATTCATTACGATATGGCGTGCTTAGTTTTGTCCTTTTTAATGTAAGGGAAACACTGTCCGTGTTCTTACTCAAAACAAGAGAACAGTTTAAATTGGCGAGCTCCAAATCGTACGTTTTCAAAATGTGCAACACTTTATCCGGAATCATAGTGGTGAATTGATCAATTTACAAAAAAGTCTCATCAGTCATCACAGCTACATGTGTGCGATATATGTAACACGCGACAGAAATAAGTCATTCGAGAAACAAAACGTGGTAAACATCTGCCTGACATCCTTTGACAAAGGCTGAAAGGTATCAAGAAAAACTCTATTTCAGAGACCCAAACCCAAAATAGAAAGGCACAATTCTCCACCAACCTGTAAACTTGGTCAGCTTGCGACAAGGTAAATGATAAACCGATGTTGTTGGTACAACACACATTTATAATGGACACGATTCCAAGAGATTAATGATCAAATACTGACAATATAAATTTTAATACTTAAGGTAGACCCGGAAGATGGGAACATTCACCGAGTCCACAGGGACCTGAGAAAATGTTACAGCTATATTTGGACCTAAACTAAGCGGGTGTTTAGAGTAATTTTACACGTTTGGGGGGTTTAGAGCATGTTTACCGAAAATCGACCTAAACCTAAACGTGTAAAATTACTCTAAACACCTTAGTTTAGGTCCAAATATAGCTGTAACAAATTCTCAGGTCCCTGTGGTCCCTTACACACTAAACATGACATTTGTAGAAACCTGGAATAAATCTACCCAAGTCCGTAGTAAGCATTTTATTTTACAGTCAAAACAGTGCACGTGGGATAATCATTTAAGAAGCGTGTTCCCCTTGTTAAACTTTTAAGTTAAGTTAGAGCTTTATCTAGCTATTTCTGGTTCAGGACTATTAAAGTCCTCTATACTACCAGACTATGTTATGACTTGCTTATGTCATGTCTTTTATAACCATAACTACTTGACCTGAAATTCGTTATGCAGCTCCTGTCCAGTCTACGGAATGTATGCTCTGAATCAGAGAGACGTATAATAATGTCTGAATCTAATAGATTATGANACACACACACACACACACACACACACTAATACTCGTAAGAGGGTGTTAGGTCAGTGTGGACATACAGATACTGAAGATCATCTTAACGCGCGAATTCGTCTGTATTGCAGAGTAGTCTCCCTTGACAGTACAAATTTGAAAAACAATGTCGGCTGTCAGTGTCACGTTGTGTCGGGGGACAAGGAAAGGACTTTTACCGATCATTTTACAAACTATATCAAGGCATGTCCAATACTGCACACATGGAACCAAAGTACTGCAATCACATGATCGTTCGGGGAAGATCAAGATCGGAGATATTGAAATTGCTCCATGGACCACCGCAGGACTTGAATCTTGTGTTGTTGTCAGTCTCAACTCTGGACAAAGTAAACAAATGCACCTGGCATTTGATATGGGTTACGCTTGTCAGAAAAGTGTAAAATGTGATCATGTGTTTATAAGGTAAGACAAACATTAGATCGGCAAGATATTTTGCAGATGTTGCTTGTCGCGTGTTTTGTATTAATTAACTGTTAGAGTAATCTCCCTTACACCGTTGGGAAATTGATAAATATCCATACTAAAGTTTTTGATATACTTTATTTGGAGACGAAGGTGTACAACAGGAGTATTCTGGACTAAACAAGAGTGTTTAGAATCGGAAATGTCGTTAACATTTTAAATAGAACAGTTTTAAAATCAATAAAATGCACATATATGTATAAACTAACAATGCAGTAGTTTAGACCACTAACATCAGAAGTATTGTTAGTTTGCATCCCATATAAACGATAAAATTTGTGAGGCCCTGAACAAGTTTGCACGAGAGGTATGTATACCAGAGTGCCTGTTGAACTAATGTTGTAATGATGAAGAATGCTGGGCGAAATGTGACGATGTATTTATCAAGTATGCAATTAATTTGTGAAAGTTTGTAAATTTCATGTTTGATTTTCAACATCGTTCTGTTGCAGCCATGGCCACATGGACCATTGTTCAGCCCTTCACCAACACGCCAGTAAACGCTCACTGATACGCTCTCCTCCCGCCAAATACTACATAGGCAGTGACCTCAGGGCACCCATGCAAACTATTCATGAAAACTTCAAACGATTGTCCGAGTTTCCTTTCAAGGCAGACTTGATTGTGGCTGAACCGAATGAGGCTATCAATGTTTGTCACCTTGTGTTCATCAGCTCTGTGAAGTGTATATATGTTACATCGAACTTTTGAAATCAATTGTTTTAAAATTGTTTGTGAAAGTAGGGATATTTTGTTTCAAACAAGTTGCATTTGTTTTGTTTTTGATCATTTTGAAAAAAAAAATCTTAAGTTTGAAATGTAATTTTAGATTGTCATTTAATTAATTTGAAATAGCCTGGATTCCGGTTTTAAAATGAAGAAATAGGTATATTTATACACGTCGTCCTTTAATAAATTATCAATTTCCTGACTGATATCAAGTTCATTTTAACAATATCAAATTCCTATTCAAACAAATGTGTTAAATGTGTATAAGAATTATTAAACATACTGTATGTCTGGTTGGTTGCAGTTGCCAGGTCCCTACCATGTGGTGCCATTTAAGACAGTTCATCGTGTACCCAGTATAGGATTCCTCCTGTACAAGACCAAGTCACATGTCAAGGAAAAATTCTCTACACATAGCAAGCAAGAGTTAAAGAAACTAGAACTTAGTGGGGAACAAGTGTATTACCAAACCGTCACCCCAGAATTAGCATACACAGGTAAATACACAATAGGAATAGTGAACAGGTAACTACAACATAGAAATAGTGAACAGTTAACTACAACATAGAAATAGTGAACAGGTAACTACAACACAGAAATAGTGAACAGGTAACTACAACACAGAAATAGTCAATAGGTTACCAGAACATAGAAATAGCAAACACAGGTAACTACAACATAGAAATAGTGAACAGGTAACTACGACATAGAAATAGTCAATAGGTTACCAGAACATAGAAATAGCAAACACAGGTAACTACAACATAGAAATAGTGAACAGGTAACTACAACATAGAAATAGCAAACACAGGTAACTACAACATAGAAATAGTGAACAGGTTACTACAACACAGAAATAGTGAACACAGGTAGCTACAACACAGAAATAGTGAACAGGTAACTACAACATAGAAATAGTGAACAGGTAACTACAACATAGAAATAGCAAACACAGGTAACTACAACATAGAAATAGTAAACACAGGTAACTACAACATAGAAATAGTGAACAGGTAACTACAACATAGAAATAGCAAACACAGGTAACTACAACATAGAAATAGCAAACACAGGTAACTACAACATAGAAATAGTGAACAGGTAACTACAACATAGAAATAGCAAACACAGGTAACTACAACATAGAAATAGCAAACACAGGTAACTACAACATAGAAATAGTGAACAGGTAACTACAACATAGAAATAGCAAACACAGGTAACTACAACATAGAAATAGCAAACACAGGTAACTACAACATAGAAATAGTGAACAGGTAACTACAACATAGAAATAGCAAACACAGGTAACTACAACATAGAAATAGCAAACACAGGTAACTACAACATAGAAATAGTGAACAGGTAACTACAACATAGAAATAGCAAACACAGGTAACTACAACATAGAAATAGCAAACACAGGTAACTACAACATAGAAATAGTGAACAGGTAACTACAACATAGAAATAGCAAACACAGGTAACTACAACATAGAAATAGCAAACACAGGTAACTACAACATAGAAATAGTGAACAGGTAACTACAACATAGAAATAGCAAACACAGGTAACTACAACATAGAAATAGCAAACACAGGTAACTACAACATAGAAATAGTGAACAGGTAACTACAACATAGAAATAGCAAACACAGGTAACTACAACATAGAAATAGCAAACACAGGTAACTACAACATAGAAATAGTGAACAGGTAACTACAACATAGAAATAGCAAACACAGGTAACTACAACATAGAAATAGCAAACACAGGTAACTACAACATAGAAATAGTGAACAGGTAACTACAACATAGAAATAGCAAACACAGGTAACTACAACATAGAAATAGCAAACACAGGTAACTACAACATAGAAATAGTGAACAGGTAACTACAACATAGAAATAGCAAACACAGGTAACTACAACATAGAAATAGCAAACACAGGTAACTACAACATAGAAATAGTGAACAGGTAACTACAACATAGAAATAGCAAACACAGGTAACTACAACATAGAAATAGCAAACACAGGTAACTACAACATAGAAATAGTGAACAGGTAACTACAACATAGAAATAGCAAACACAGGTAACTACAACATAGAAATAGCAAACACAGGTAACTACAACATAGAAATAGTGAACAGGTAACTACAACATAGAAATAGCAAACACAGGTAACTACAACATAGAAATAGCAAACACAGGTAACTACAACATAGAAATAGTGAACAGGTAACTACAACATAGAAATAGCAAACACAGGTAACTACAACATAGAAATAGCAAACACAGGTAACTACAACATAGAAATAGTGAACAGGTAACTACAACATAGAAATAGCAAACACAGGTAACTACAACATAGAAATAGCAAACACAGGTAACTACAACATAGAAATAGTGAACAGGTAACTACAACATAGAAATAGCAAACACAGGTAACTACAACATAGAAATAGCAAACACAGGTAACTACAACATAGAAATAGTGAACAGGTAACTACAACATAGAAATAGCAAACACAGGTAACTACAACATAGAAATAGCAAACACAGGTAACTACAACATAGAAATAGTGAACAGGTAACTACAACATAGAAATAGCAAACACAGGTAACTACAACATAGAAATAGCAAACACAGGTAACTACAACATAGAAATAGTGAACAGGTAACTACAACATAGAAATAGCAAACACAGGTAACTACAACATAGAAATAGCAAACACAGGTAACTACAACATAGAAATAGTGAACAGGTAACTACAACATAGAAATAGCAAACACAGGTAACTACAACATAGAAATAGCAAACACAGGTAACTACAACATAGAAATAGTGAACAGGTAACTACAACATAGAAATAGCAAACACAGGTAACTACAACATAGAAATAGCAAACACAGGTAACTACAACATAGAAATAGTGAACAGGTAACTACAACATAGAAATAGCAAACACAGGTAACTACAACATAGAAATAGCAAACACAGGTAACTACAACATAGAAATAGTGAACAGGTAACTACAACATAGAAATAGCAAACACAGGTAACTACAACATAGAAATAGCAAACACAGGTAACTACAACATAGAAATAGTGAACAGGTAACTACAACATAGAAATAGCAAACACAGGTAACTACAACATAGAAATAGCAAACACAGGTAACTACAACATAGAAATAGTGAACAGGTAACTACAACATAGAAATAGCAAACACAGGTAACTACAACATAGAAATAGCAAACACAGGTAACTACAACATAGAAATAGTGAACAGGTAACTACAACATAGAAATAGCAAACACAGGTAACTACAACATAGAAATAGCAAACACAGGTAACTACAACATAGAAATAGTGAACAGGTAACTACAACATAGAAATAGCAAACACAGGTAACTACAACATAGAAATAGCAAACACAGGTAACAACAACATAGAACTAGTGAACAGGTAACTACAGCATAGAAATAGCAAACACAGGTTATTACAACATAGAAATAGTGAACACAGGTAACAACAACATAAAAATAGCAAACACAGGTTAATACAACATAGAAATAGTGAACAGGTTACTACAACCTAGAAATAGCAAACACAGGTTATTACAACATAGAACTAGTGAACAGGTTACTACAACCTAGAAATAGCAAACACAGGTAACTACAACCTAGAAATAGCAAACACAGGTTATTACAACATAGAAATAGTGAACAGGTTACTACAAAATAGAAATAGTGAACAGGTAACTACAACCTAGAAATAGCAAACACAGGTAACAACAACATAAAAATAGCAAACACAGGTTAATACAACATAGAAATAGTGAACAGGTTACTACAACCTAGAAATAGCAAACACAGGTAACTACAACCTAGAAATAGCAAACAGAGGTTATTACAACATAGAAAAAGTGAACAGGTAACTACAGCATAGAAATAGCAAACACAGGTTATTACAACATAGAAATAGTGAACAGGTAACTACAACATAGAAATAGCAAACAGAGGTTATTACAACATAGAAAAAGTGAACAGGTAACTACAACATAGAAATAGCAAACAGAGGTTATTACAACATACAAAAAGTGAACAGGTAACTACAGCATAGAAATAGCAAACACAGGTTATTACAACATAGAAATAGTGAAGGGGGTACTACAACCTAGAAATAGCAAACACAGGTAACTACAACCTAGAAATAGCAAACACAGGTTATTACAACATAGAAATAGTGAACAGGTTACTACTACCTAGAAATAGCAAACACAGGTAACTACAACATAGAAATAGCAAACCACTGTTGACTTTCTAGGTCAAGTTTAATGTTAATGTCTAATTAAATTAGACTTGTAATTCCGCTCCTCTAGGATACACTCTTTGTATTTGAGTGTATGTAGAGTATGGTAGGGGAGCGGAATTACAAGTCTAGTTTTAATTAGGTTGCCATATCTGTTGACTGTAAAGGTCAGTGTCTTCACACTGTATGTATAATAACAACATTGGCTTACAAGATATAGGTATACTTACAGAAATCTCATTACCAAATATTACATATATTGACTATAGATACAAAGGGACCTCTCCCATCATGTTACAAACAAAAAATGACAGATCAATTATTGACTGTTTAAATTTGCACACAGATCTTGTGCAGTCCGGTTATCCATTAGTAATTTTACTATTTTCTCTCTTGCAGGTGATACTACATTTGAAGTATTCTCCGAGCCGCCCATTGCTGATTTACTCAAAGTGAAGATACTTATCACAGAGTGTACTTATATCAAAACAGCCAGGAACGTAACGGAAGCCATGACCAGAGAACGAGGACACATCCACCTCGACGAGATCATTCGGAATTCTCACATGTTCTCCGAGGTTGAGGCACTCATGCTTGTGCATTTCTCAGACAGATACAAAGCTGATGACATTACTGAGACAATAGAAAGACAGTGTCCTGCGAAGTTAAAACGTAAATTGTACTCGGCTAGTGTACATAATGAACAGACCCATATTGTTTGTTACTCATAGACAGTAAAAACTTACCATTAATAGGTCGGTTTTCTAGTTTCCTTTCGAGTTTCATATTATCAGTAATTTGTTACCATGTATGTGTATCAGAATTAATTGGATACAAGTTTCGTTCAATGTCAGCTATGGTCATTTAAGGACGTGCCAGGTTTTGATGGTGGAGGAAACCCGGAGTTCCCGGTGAAAAAACACCGACCTATGGCCAGTACCTGGCGACTGCCCCATGAAGGTCTGGAACCCGCAACCCAGTGGTGGAGGGCTAGTGGTAGCAGAATATCAGTCGCCTTAACCACGTGGTCACTGCCGCCAGAGTTGTTAATTGACCACTGTTGTACTTATAACACTGTCTCTGGTTTGGTGGTAGGGTGTGGATACTCTTTGATATCTGAATTGTACAAACAGAAGAGCAGGGCCAAGAAAGGGTTATTTGACCATATTGCTTTAAATGACTTCTCCTCTGGTACTGCATTGTATGTCTTGGTTAGAAGAATTCTGAGTGATTATGATTTAGAAATATACAGATGAATAGGGTCATGAGGTACCTGATGAAAAAATGATAGTTTGGCCATGATCTATGTGATTGATATCAACAACATTCGTTTAGAAGTATCCCAGCAGGTAATGATATAACCCTATAACTGTGTACCTGCTTTTTTTAAGGTGAATAGAGGAACAAAATCATACTACCAGGATTTACTCCATGGTCTGTGTTCACACCTGGGGAATTTGACACCGGGTCACAACATGAAACAGTTGAAATCTGAATGCTGGAACCGTATACATTTATTGGGCATGAACAGATGTGAACACATATGCCATCAAAGGCGTAGTCCTAGGGGCATACCATAAACAATTGAGATCAACACCTACCAACCATATTTTGTTCATGCCTAGCCATCCTCATCCTTGATATCCAGGGGTTACGCTCGCTCTCGCTCTGTGCACCTCTGGAATATGTCATGGCAATATTGAAGGCACGAAGATAGCTGTTTGATTGGTCTCGGGTAAAAAAAAACACCTGACCAATCGCAAGGCTGATACCTGTCCTTTGAAGATTACAAAGGAGAGACGCCCAACTTCAAAGCTTGTCAATTTTTACCGTTAGGTGACCGCGAGATTCTTTTGATGTACATTAAAGGATCGAACTAGTCTTCTTGTCTCATCAACAAGATGGCGCACACCGAGTCTTCAACTTTGCTATGACATATTCCAGGGGTGCAGAGAGCGAAAGTGTGCGTAACCCCTGGACATCGAGGATGAGCCATCCTCCATGCTCCAGGGTTTACGCTCACTTACACTCTCTGCACCCCTGAAATATGTCATTGCAAAATTTAAGCCACGTGGCTAGCTATTTGATTGATCTCGGCTAAAAAATATATACCAATAGCCAGACTGATTCCATCCTTGATATCCAGGGGTTACGCTCACTTTCGCTCTCTGCACCCCTGGAATATGTCGTAGCAAAATTGAAGGCACGAAGATAGCTGTGGTAAAAAGACTGACCAATCGCTAGGCTGATGCCTTTCCTTTAAAGACCACAAAGGAGAGACGCCCGACTTCAAAGCCTGTCAAATTTTACCGTCACGTGACCGCGAGATTCTTTTGATGTTTATCAAAGGAACAAGGTGGCGCACACTGAGCCTTCAATTTTGCTATGACTTATTCCATGGCATCCTCGATATCCAGGTGTTACGCTCACTTTCGCTCTCTACACCCCTGGAATATGTCATTGCAAAATTTAAGGCACGTGGCTAGCTATTTGATTGATCTCGGATGAAAAAAATATACACCAATAGCCAGACTGATTCCATCCTTGATATCCTGAGGTTACGCTCACTTTCGCTCTCTGCACCCCTAAAATATGTCGTAGCAATATTGAAGGCACGAAGATAGCTGTTTGATTGGTCTCCGGTAAAAAAAAACACTTGACCAATCGCTAACCTAATACCTGTCCTTTGAAGATTACAAAGGAGAGACGCCCGACTTCAAAGCCTGACCATTTTTACCGTTACGTGACCGCGAGATTATTTTGATGTATATCAAAGGGTCGAACTAGTCTTCTTGTCTCATCAACAAGATGGCGCACACCGAGTCTTCGATGTTGCTATGACATATTCCTGGGGTGTAGAGAGCGAGAGTGAGCGTAACCCCTGGGTATCGAGGATGGGCTGCTTCCTGTCCTTTGCAGATTACAGAGGAGCGACACCGACTTCAAAGCCAGTAAGTTTTACCGTTTCACGACCGCGGGATTCTTTTGATTTTGCTTTGTGCAGAGTGCAAAAATGAGCATAAACCATGGAGTATCCAGGATGGTGCCTAGCATGAAAAGCAGACACAATATGTACTATCTGTGACGATTTAATCACAGTCTTACGGTTATAGGTAGTAATCTTGCGCATTCGTAGCTGGATTTGACTGTGTATGTACGATTTTCTTAATATGTATCTTAAGAGTTTTAGAATACATGAAAAGACTTATCTTGATTGGTTTCAAATGTACCTTGACCATGATATGGTTCTGTATTTATGCGTGGATACAGCATTCGTAGATGAAACGGGTTTTATCTGTGCATTGACGTGAACAGTACATACCCAAATATAAATGGATGCTAATTCAATGAATCACATAATAGCATGTCAGGTAAATGTTACTTTTATTGTTGCAATACTTTTTTTAAAACAGATTTCACCGGGTGGGTGATAACCTCTTTCGAACCAGGAAACAAAAGCATGTCAGGTAAATGTTACTTTTATTGTTGCAATACTTTTTTAAAAACAGATTTCACCGGGTGGGTGATAACCTCTTTCGAACCAGGAAACAAAATCAACACTCTTTCTCACGGTCAGTTCAGTAGTGGAATGTCGCCGAAAATCATCAGGAAACCACCTCTAAACACAAGTGTATTACAACGTAAAAGAACATTTTAAGAGGCTTGGTAAAATGATTTAATCTACTTCCAAGTTATAAGAAAAACATCCAGAACTAGTCAAAGTATTGTTATGAATTTTTGAATTCTGTCGACTCGAGGGGAACATCTACGTAAATATAGATTTTCAAACAACGGGTTATTCCCCTTTAACCAATAAAAGAATTGCTATCAATACAAAATAAGAAAACACCCGGATATGAAAATGTGCAAGTCTTTACTACACCATATGGTCATTACGCCCATCTGGAACTCGTAAGTGCAACTAAAGGTCAAAAGGGTGAAAATCAACTATATGTCTGAATTGTTCTGAAATATGTTATTAGAGAATAGCAGAAAGGGAGCAGTGTCTATTAAACTCACAATTGTTACAAATGTACAAATTCTGGCTTCAACAGATCATTTACTCTTGAACTAATATTTCATGAAAACTGTACCAGAATATGTTGTAGTAACAAGGTTACAGCCATATCGGAGACGGAAGCTCGCCAGTTGTCATCCAACCTCTGTCGACAAGTAAATAATTACTGGAAATAACACAGCAAGGCAGCACCTGTTAAAAAATTAAGTACGTCGATATAACATGCGAAAGCAGACATCAACCCATTTAGTCTGTTGTCTTTTGTTTCCGTTAGTTGATGTGCTATAGGCCTAAGACACATATGTACAAATTAAACTTTGACCAGATACGTCGCGGTCATAAAAAGGACCCACAAAACACTACAGCATGTAAGTTTGATTAATATTCGGTGTTAATTCAACACTCGGCAAAATTAGTACCGTCCCAACGATAATTAATCAGCTATCCCATAAAACGTCTACTATTACTGTCTACACATTAGGATAAGTTCAAACCCACATCCTGTAATTTGTTCTCAGGTCCCTGTGGTGGTCATTAACGAAAATACGTTAAATGTTGCCAGTTACAGAACATTGGTGCAACGATGGTATAATGGGGTATAATCTAAACAATGTGACAGGGTCGAAGTTAATGTTCTCGAGCGATACTCCCCGGGACGGGATCCTGCTGGGTAACGATCCTCTACGACTATCAGCCAAAGCTAGTCTACGGAAGGTTCACAGTCAAGACTTTATATCATCCTCCACGACACTCCGACTATACCGAGGCCGGTCTACGGAAAGTTCACAGCCGAACAGGCTACAACTAGGCCTAGTCTACGAAAGGTTCACAGTCAAGACTTTATATCATCCTTCACGACAATCAGACTACGTCGTGGCCGTTCTACGAGAGGTTCACGGCTCAAACTTCATATCATCCTCCATTACTCTCGGGCCACACCGAGGCCGGTCTATGGGAGGTTCACGGCTCAAACTTCATATCATCCTCCATTTCTCTCGGACTACACCGAGGCCGGTCTATGGGAGGTTCACGGCTCAAACTTCATATCCTCCTCCATTACTCTCGGACTACACCGAGGCCGGTTTATGAGAGGTTCACAGCCCAAACTTCATATCAACCTCCATTACTCTCGGACTACACCGAGGCCGGTCTATGGGAGGTTCACGGCTCAAACTTCATATCCTCCTCCATTACTCTCGGACTACACCGAGACCGGTTTATGAGAGGTTCACAGCCCAAACTTCATATCAACCTCCATTACTCTCGGGCCACACCGAGGCCGGTTTACGGGAGGTTCTCAGCCCAATCTTCATATCATCCTCCATTACTCATCGGCTACACTGAGGCCGGTCTACGAGAGGTTCTCAGCCCAATCTTCATATCATCCTCCATTACTTTCGGGCCACACCGAGGCCGGTCTACGGGAGGTTATCAGCCCAATCTTCATATCATCCTCCATTACCCTTTGAACTACACCAAGGCCGGTCTACGGTAGGTTCAAAGCGCAAACTTCATATCATCCTCCATTATTCTAGGGCTACACCGAGATCGGTCTACGGAAGGTTCACAGCTTCCCGACTATCAGACAACATAGAGGCCGGTCTACGGAAGGGTCACAGCTACAAGACTCTCAGATAACATAGAGGCCGGTCTACGGAAGGTTCACAGCTACACGACTATCAGACAACAGAGAGGCCGGTCTACGTAACGCTCACTAGGCTAGCATTCGATCTCTT